GATGGGCCTAAACGTTTGGAGAAGGTTTAAATAAATATATGTATTTAATCCTCCTACTGGCAGTAACTTTTCTGCATTGGGTTTGGGTTTCCCCTGCCTTAGCCAGCCTGAGGCATTTTCCTAGCCTCTTCAGTTGTTTCCAGAAAATGCAGACAGTGGGCATATGGAGTGTTTCAACAAAAATGCTGTTCTGCAGAACAGGGGCAGTCACACTAAAAGCCCTGCTCTGTTGCAAAGTACTGGAAGACACAAGATCTGCCCACCTGGGAAGAATGGCAGATGAAGCTGATGGAGTACATGGAGTTGGCGGAAATGACTGGCAGAATCCGAGACCAGGGAGAAGAGTCGGTGGAAGAAGATTGGAAAAAAGTTAAAGTATATTTACAGAAATATTGTAAAATAAATGAATGTTAGAAGGATGCTGGAAAGAAGTTATATGGCTTTAGCAGAAATGTTATAAAGAATTAAGTAAAAATAGATTTACGGGTCAAAGTGTAAAATGTAAGGTTAAATTGCATTAGATAAATTATGGAACAAAATTTGAGAAAGAGGAAAAGGACTTGCTGAAACAATTAATTGAATTAGAATACAAAAAAGGGAGGTGTGAGGAAGTCAAGGAAACAAGTAAAGATAAAGATATGAAAATACTGGATGGGTTTTTTAAAAATGTTTTTGTTTTTAAATGTTTTTGGGGTTTTTGGTATTGTTTTGCTGTATTGTTGTTTTTTATTGTATTTTCTTTTATTTTTGAAGTATTGTAACTTTTTATTGTTTGTTTTTCTTTTTTCTGTAATTGTTAAACTTTAATAAATATCATTTAAAAAAAGAAAAGAAAAGCCCTGCTCTGAGTTACTGTGGAGCAGCTTTCTAAGGGATCATTTCCTTCTTCCTCAGAGTGACCGAGACCCTCATTCTCCATGACAGCATGGCAGCTGTCAAGTCCCCAAAGGCTTTGTCCACCAACCTCTCTCAGCTTCTGCAGGTCAACCATTTTGGCCTTGGGAGAATGAACTTGGTTCCCTGAGGGCCAGGAACGCATTGCACCAAGCACACCCCCACGACTTCTGTCCAGAAGGCAGACAGTTGCATTTTTAGTATTCTGTATAATACACTGCATGCTGTGCCCCAGCTGGCTTTCTCTCTGCATATCTGTTTTTACAGGTTATTGAGTTAGTTTACTTTGGGAGCTTAGGATTTGTTGTGGGGAGAGTAGTCTTCCCTGTCCTCCTTACTCTGCTGTTGAATTCACTCGGCTGCTTTGTCACTGGGGCTGAGATACCACACTGGTGAGACTTCCCTCTTGCTCATCCAGTGGGCTTCTTCTCTGGGTGGTTCCAAATTTATAGTCCTGACTAGCTTCCCTCTAGGTTTTGATGACTTAAGCGGTATATAAATCCTGTTTTATAAATAAATGGCACCAGGTGATTGACATGTGGATGGCTTCCTCCACCTGTCAGTGTTGGCCGGTGGGCTCTTGAATCTAGGATCTCTATGGTGTGTGTCCCTCCTTTTGTGTTTTAAAGAGCCCTTGTGATTGTAACACCAACCCTACATTTTATAGGCAGTTGTTGAACAGCAATAGAAGCTAATGGGGAGCTACAGAGGTTCCCAGTGTTTCCTCAGGGGCCTTGATCACCCTTTCCAGCAGTAAACTTGTGTGCTTGTCATTTGGAAACGAAACAGCACTATCCAAAAACAATAGGGGCTTCCTCTACATATTCAGGGGACACCCTTGGTACACAGGGTTATTTTTTTTAAAAAAACCACCTGTTTGTGTAATCCAGTAAGCTGCATAAACTTACTACTCCAAGTTGAGTCTTGGGATAAAATGTGAGAGTCCTTTGAGAGTTATGATCGGCATGTAGGCAGTTACAGAAAAAACAACTGATTAGGGGCTTCATACATGTGCTGCTTTGTGAACCTGATGGCTTGTAACAGGTTACTGTGTAGAATTACTAAAGCCATATTTGAACACATGCCCAATATTACAAATGCCTGTTTTGCATGTTTCTATTTCAGCCGCGTCGTTTTGTGTACATTAGCACAGGATTCCAAGCCAGCTGCCCACATATTTCCTGTCAAGTAACTGCTTTTTATGCTGGAAGAGTCACACATTGAAGGAAAAGGCCTTCTAGAATTCTAGAATGAGGAAATGTTGCAGCTAAGAACTTGTGTGAAATCCAGGCTTGCCTCAGTTGTGCCACAAGTAAACCAGGGCATTTTGTTGCCGATTTGAAGTGAGCATTCTGCTTTTTCTTGATTTGTACTGCTGACTTGTATTTTCCTTTGCTTTAAATTGGAGAGCATAGCTAAAAAGAGCTGTTATTTCCTAGAGTTGTGGTCTCTCTGAAGTCCTGGAAAGAGCTGTGAGGGACATTACTTGTGCTTTCTTGAGGAAGTAGTATGTTTAGCATTGACAGGAGTCCTGGCTTTTCAGTCTTCTATTACCATCAGACGTGCTGCTCTGAAGGCTGAGTAATGCCTTGGTTTTTATTCTTCCAGGCAGGTGCAGTGATTAACATTTTGCAGTGGTCTCCCTCAGAAGGTGGTGAACTCTCCTTCCTTGGGGGTTTTAAGGCAGAGGCTGGATGGCCATCTGTCATGTATGCTTTATTTGAGATTTCCTACATTGCAGGGGGTTGGACTTTTAAGATCCTTGGAATCCCTTCCAACTCTGCAGTTCTATGAGTCTATAAATATATGACACTCAATTAGTCAAACTGTTAAACACTAGTTTTTCTATATAATATAGGTAGATAACTTGCTTCTACCTGGAAGCTGCATATACCGTATTTTTTGCTCTGTAAGACTCACTTTTCCCCTCCTAAAAAGTAAGGGGAAATGTGTGTGCGTCTTGTGGAGCGAATGCAGGCTGTGCAGCTATCCCAGAAGCCAGAACAGCAAGAGGGATTGCTGCTTTCACTGCGCAGCGATCCCTCTTGCTGTTCTGGCTTCTGAGATTCAGAATATTTTTTTTCTTGTTTTCCTCCTCCAAAAACTAAGTGCGTCTTGTGGTCTGGTGCGTCTTATAGAGCGAAAAATACAGTATTTCTCCAGGAGGGTTTTTCCACCATCATTTTATTTGTTTGCCATCTTTCCATAATTAAAACCATGCTCAAGGCACCTTACAACATAACAAGATTTACATAATTACAAACGTAACAAAAATAGAATAAATAAAACACATCAAAAAGTACACAACTGAATTGAAACAATGTCCACATAAATCATAAGAATAAAACTAAAGATACAACAATTAATATTAATTAATATCCTTAATTAATAACAAAAAACCAACAAAGCACCTTAAACAAACCACAGCCCAAGAGTCTGTTCAGCAGCCTCAGCTTTTGTAGCTGCAGAGCTCTGTCTTGCCAGGCCAGGTGAGAGAAGGCCAGCAAAGCAGGGAGCAGCTCTTCCAGGACTTGCAAGACCCTCCAGAATGCTGTGTGGTGCCATGTTGCCAAAAGCACTGAGGGCCCCCCAGGGGTTTGCACCTTTTTTTTTTTAACTGACTGCTCCTATAGGTACCCTGTTGTGATACTGTGGTGCCCAAAGGTTTTTGCAAGGGGCCTAAAGCCCCTCAGGAATCGCCACACAAGATGTTGGCCTGTGGCCCTGGAGGGTTGACCATGGGTCACTATGGTCCTTCACATAAGAAATGGTTAGCCCCTGCTGATGCAAAATAACAGCAAGAAGTAAAAATATTTGACACGTAAGACAAAACACTAGGAAGGAAACACTAGGCTCAAAACTTACATGCTTATGGTTTTCAATCGTTGGTTCCACGTTTTCCCCTTCCCTTTGATGTTGGTTCATAACAAGGTTCAAAGAAGGCCTGTCATTAGTAACAAGTGGCAAGTCAAAACAGATTGAATGACATCCCATTCTGCCCCCCTTCCCAGGCCAAATAACAGGGGCAAATAGCAGCCCTAGCTTAGGGCAGGCTAAATCTTGTTTTGGTTAGGGTTGAAAGAGGGGCCTTGTGTTTGCTTTGCTTTTGGACAGTTGTTTTCCTATTTCTTCTTCAAAGTTGCTGTTTGCAAAAGCCCTACTTTTACTAAAGGTTCTCAATACCCCATGAGCTTGTTTAGTTTCCGTGCTAGTTTTGTATGGGGAGATCGTAACAACAGGAAGCCTCTGTGATGCACTATTTTGTCACAACTGTTCCTCTCCACTTGGAGCCAATCCAGGCATTCCCAGGTCATTTTTTAGACTTGAATAGGACAGTGCTCTCATATGTATACTTGTAGGGGTTTTGCCTATGTGTTGTCTAAAAGCTTTCAAATATACAGTCATCCTCCTAGACATCTAAGATGGTACAGTCCTCTGTGCCTGTTTTTGTTTTAAAGAAAACAGACTGGCCTTGGCCAGGGCAAAAGATTACTGACTCAGCTTTTACAAAATCATTGCAGGATGTGGGGGTAGAAAGACTGGTATCTGGAGAAGTGGAGCTGTCATGATGGATTGGTTTTATATTGCTGAAAGAAAATCTGTTTGAATCAAGTTCCCCATTGGTATGTCACATTAATACAGAAAAATGCATACTATTTGACTGGCCTAACGATGAAACATTGTTAATACAAGCATGGTTGGCTGGCCCTTTGTAGGGTAGCTTCGTATGAGCCTACATTTACAGTCCTGCTATCAAGGAATGTAACACTAAACCTTGGTGCGGGCCTTTTCTGCTGGTTAATAGATCTGAGGCAGGACGAGGAGCCTTGAAAGCAGTAAGTGTGTTTCTCTCTCTTTACCTGTAAAAACATTGAACAAAGCCAGATACTTGAGTAACAGCTGTCCAGAACTTTAAAGAAGCAAGGACTGATCAAAAAGCTACAAGCCCACTTTCCCTTTTATCGGAGGAGCTGAGGTTCCCACAAGGGACAGAACAGATGCACTTTTATGTTATTTGCTGTTGGAGTGTGATTTCTTGATGGGGAGTGAAAATTACTTAATTTCAAAGCTTTAAATTCTTTCCCCCTTTCTCTTGGCCTTTTTAGGTTGGAAGGTAACCTGGCAAAGCACCAAGATGTCGCTTCACAACACGAGAGCCTCAGCTCTCCTTGCTTGGGTAAGATGCCTCTTTATTCTTGGTAGCCGCTTAGGATGTGGCCACACCTTGTGCTCTGGTGCCTTCTTTTCCCTCTGCGCTAACTGTGCTCTGTTATCCTTGTCCAAAGTGCTTTGTGTAGCTGACAATTCCCTTTGCGACACTGTGTTTTTGGTCCAGCAGATCTTCCCTGTGAGAAACAAGTTACTGGGATGTAAAACATGTTACTGTAGGAAAGGCAAAACTGGCAGTAAAAACAGGGCAGTTGTAGCGAGAGAACCAGCTGTGTTTCAGTGACAAAACGGGCAATGAGATGTCTATAACTCAATTGTAGGGCATCTTTTTTTTTTTTTCCTTTTTCTTGGTACACAGAAGGTTCTGAGTTCAGTTCCCAGAGTCTCCAGGTAGGGTTGAGGGAGACCTCTGCCTGAAGCCCTGGAGAGTGTTTAGTGTGCCAATGTGATTCAAGGCCTGATTGTAAGAATTGAAGCAGTGTAAATTTTAAGTTGTCAGTTAACATGGTTTATTAGCCACATACACTCCATTATTTAGAAAATGTGCATAGAAGTATGCATGGGGAACTAGATTTAAGTCAGCTCCCCCCCCCCCCGATTTATGCAATGGGTTTAAATCAGTGGCACCCTGAGGAAGCTTGTCATTGGGGGGGGGGTTCTTTCCTTAGATGCTCTGTAAAGCTTTCAGATATGCTTGGGATAAGTGCTGAGACCTTGGATTTAATCCAAAACTTCTGGATTTTTTTGCTTTTTATCAGGAAAGGGGTGGAGATGAGGGGCTGGACCTCGTTTTGAATGCCTAGAAAGCTCCTGGCGCTTCCTGGACGTTATGTTAATTGTCAGTTGCTCCCACTCCCTCAGAATCCTTAAAGATATTGATGAGGTTTACGCATGTTTGGAAAAGGCCATGGTTAATGTGAGAGCTGTTTAAATTAAGTCTGCCGTAACTAGGAAAAAAAATCAGGTACCCCCAGGCAGTCATGAAGAATGAGGGTTCATTGGAGCAATGTTGTTCAGTGGTTCCCATATAGAACTGTTTCTATTAGTTCCTACATGGGGTTAAGGCACCAAGGGAGGGGGCATAAGAAAATTCCTGCTGAAACAATCTAAATTCCTATCTGGTCCATCACTGTGGGCAGCCAGAGCCCTCTGAGACGCTCACAAGCAGGACATGAGAGTACCTGCCTTCTCCCACTGGGAACTGAGGCCTGCTGTCTCCTCTGGAGGTAGCATATGGCCACTGGGACTTGTAGACTAAAATCCATGTAGAGTTGTATCAAGCAGGAGGCAAGGAAAGTAAATAATTTGTACTTCTTCTGCACCCTATTCCAAAGCCTCATGATCAGTTGTGATGTACCCATTAAGTTTTTTGCTTTATGGCAGATGGGTAGGGCAACTGGAGGAACGTGTAGCTACGCTCCAAAGAATTAGAGAGCTGGAGCTCTTCTTGGAAGCAACAGAGAACACCGTCTCCACCAAGGAGGAGACAGGGGACACCCCTGAGAAGGAGGCTAGTTCACCAACACAGGTGCCAGATATATGGAGAAACGTGACTCAAAGAAGTAGGAGGCCCAGGGTTCGCTCTGATTGTTTAGAAATACACAATCGCTTTGAAGTCCTCTCCCCTAGCATGGAAGACGAAGAACGGACTCCATTTGAGGATCTCTCCCTCATTACAGTTGATCAGGTACATGAAGACGAGCAGTCCTCAGGGAATGTGCAGGCGACCTTGGAACGGACAGCTCACGGAAGAACCCCAACCAAACCTAAGAGTAGGCGTGTAGTAGTGATAGGGGATTCCCTGCTGAGGGGAACAGAAGCAGTGATCTGTGGGCCTGACAAGATGTCTCGGGAGGTGTGCTGTCTCCCCGGGGCTAAGATCCAAGATGTAACTGAACGACTGCAAGGAATCATAAAACCCACTGACAAATACCCCTTCCTCTTGGTTCATGTGGGAACCAATGACACTGCAAGCAATAGCCTCCAGAAGATCAAAAGAGACTACGAGGCTCTGGGCAGGAAATTGAAGCAATTAAATGCACAAATTGTCATCTCATCTGTCCTCCCAGTTGAACGACGTGGCCCAGGGAGAGAGGGGAAAATATTGGAAGTGAACAGCTGGCTTCGCAAATGGTGTAAACAGGAACGGTTTGGATTCTTAGATCACGGACTGCAGTTTTTTGAAGATGGACTTCTGGCAAGCGATGGGCTGCACCTGACAGTGGTTGGGAGGAATGTTTTTGCCAAAAATCTCAGAAACCTCATCAGGAGGGCTTTAAACTGACTAATGTGGGGGAGGGAGACAGTGCACCTGAAGGTAAGAGTCTATCAATTGATGAAGATGATCATCCAAATGTCATAGACTGAATGGAGCAAACAGCATGCAGACCTAGTGGTGGGAGGAAAAAATCCTTAAATAAGAGACACGGGGTAATGATTAATGGACTTCAATGTCTGTACACTAATGCGCAAAGCATGGGAAATAAACAAGATGAGCTTGAGCTCTTGGTACAGCAAACTAAATATGACATAATAGGCATCACTGAAACCTGGTGGGATAAGTCCCACGATTGGAATGTAATAATGGAGGGATACAATCTATTTCAGAGAAACAGACCAGACAAGAAAGGAGGAGGAGTGGCATTATATGTCAGGGATATGTATACCTGTGAAGAGATCCAAGATTTAGAACCTCAAAGCCAAAGTGAGAGCATTTGGATCAAAATTAAGGGAGAGAAGAATAACAGAGACCTCATTGTGGCAGTCTACTATAGATCCCCAAGCCAAACGGAGGACATAGATGATGCCTTCCTGGAACAGATGGCCAAGCATGCAAAAGGAAGGGAGATAGTAGTAATGGGGGACTTCAATTACCCGGATATTTGTTGGATGTCAAACTCAGCCAAGAGCATAAGGTCAAACAGATTCCTCACTGGCCTTGCAGACAACTTCATTGTCCAGAAAGTGGGAGAAGCAACAAGAGGAACAGCCATTTTAGATCTGGTCCTAACCAATGTTGATGACCTGGTTAGTGGGGTAGAAGTGGAAGGATCATTAGGCGCGAGTGATCATGCTCTTCTGAAGTTTACTATACAGCGGAAAGGAACAGCCAAGCATACTAGGACTCAATTTCTTGACTTTAAGAAAGCCGACTTCATAAAACTTAGGGAAATGCTGGGTGAGATCCCATGGACAGTAATACTAAAAGGAAAGGGAGTTCATGATGGCTGGGAGTTTGTTAAGAGGGAGATAGTAAAAGCACAACTTCAGGCAATACCAATGAGACGTGGGTGGCTATCTAAAGAACTTTTAACTGAGTTAAGATTAAAAAAGGATGTGTACAAAAAATGGAAAAGGGGGGAAACCACCAAAGAGGAATTCAAACAAATAGCCAGCACGTGTAGACACAAAGTCAGAAAAGCTAAAGCACAGAATGAACTCAGGCTTGCTAGAGAGGTTAAAAGCAACAAAAAAGGCTTTTATGGGTATGTTCGTAGCAAAAGGAAGAACAAAGAAACAGTGGGGTCACTCAGAGGAGAAGATGGTGAAATGCAAACAGGGGACACAGAAAGGGCTGAACTCCTCAATGCCTTCTTTGCCTCAGTCTTCTCTGATAAAGAAAACAATGCCCGACCTGAAGAATTTGGAGCAAATGATTCAGCAGAGGAAACACAGCCCAGAATAACTAAGGAGATAGTACAAGAATACTTGGCTAGTTTAGATGTATTCAAGTCTCCAGGGCCAGATGAACTGCATCCAAGAGTATTAAAAGAACTGGCAGATGTGATTTCAGAACCACTGGCAGTCATCTTTGAGAATTCCTGGAGAACAGGCGAAGTCCCGGCAGACTGGAGGAGGGCAAATGTTGTCCCTATTTTCAAAAAGGGGAAAAGAGACGACCCAAATAATTACCGCCCAGTCAGTCTGACATCAATACCAGGGAAAATTCTGGAGCAGATCATTAAGCAAACAGTCTGTGAGCACCTAGAAAGGAATGCTGTGATCACCAATAGTCAGCATGGATTTCTGAAAAATAAGTCATGTCAGACTAACCTGATCTCGTTTTTTGACAGAATTACAAGCCTGGTAGATGAAGGGAACGCAGTGGATGTAGCCTACCTTGATTTCAGCAAGGCATTTGACAAGGTGCCCCATGATATTCTTGTAAAGAAGCTGGTAAAATGCGGTCTTGACTATGCTTCCACTCAGTGGATTTGTAACTGGCTGACTGACCGAACCCAAAGGGTGCTCATCAATGGTTCCTCTTCATCCTGGAGAAGAGTGACTAGTGGGGTGCCACAGGGTTCTGTCTTGGGCCCGGTCTCATTCAACATCTTTATCAACGACTTGGATGATGGACTCAAGGGCATCCTGATCAAATTTGCAGATGACACCAAACTGGGAGGGGTGGCTAACACCCCAGAGGACAGGATCACACTTCAAAACGATCTTGACAGATTAGAGAACTGGGCCAAAACAAACAAGATGAACTTTAACAGGGAGAAATGTAAAGTATTGCACTTGGGCAAAAAAATGAGAGGCACAAATACAAGATGGGGGACACCTGGCTTGAGAGCAGTGAAAAGGATCTAGGAGTCTTGGTTGACCACAAACTTGACAGGAGCCAACAGTGTGACGCGGCAGCTAAAAAAGCCAATGCAATTCTGGGCTGCATCAATAGGAGTATAGCATCTAGATCAAGGGAAGTAATAGTGCCACTGTATTCTGCTCTGGTCAGACCTCACCTGGAGTACTGTGTCCAGTTCTGGGCACCACAGTTCAAGAAGGACACTGACAAACTGGAACGTGTCCAGAGGAGGGCAACCAAAATGGTCAAAGGCCTGGAAACGATGCCTTATGAGGAATGGCTAAGGGATCTGGGCATGTTTAGCCTGGAGAAGAGGAGGTTAAGGGGTGATATGATAGCCATGTTCAAATATATAAAAGGATGTCATATAGAGGAGGGAGAAAGCTTGTTTTCTGCTGCTCCAGAGAAGCGGACACGGAGCAATGGATCCAAACGACAAGAAAGAAGATTCCACCTAAACATTAGGAAGAACTTCCTGACAGTAAGAGCTGTTCGACAGTGGAATTGCTGCCAAGGAGTGTGGTGGAGTCTCCTTCTTTGGAGGTCTTTAAGCAGAGGCTTGACAACCATATGTCAGGAGTGCTCTGATGGTGTTTCCTGCTTGGCAGGGGGTTGGACTCGATGGCCCTTGTGGTCTCTTCCAACTCTATGATTCTATTCTATGATTCTATGATTCTATGTTCTTGTTGATGTGCTGAAGGCTATTATCTATCACTCATCCTTATGTCTGATCTGAGATCCTTCCATCTCCAAGCGCAAGGTGTATGCAGGGCATTGCTAAGTGCTTATATGTTTTCCTTAATGGGGTTTCCACCAAGCTTATGTGTTGGTAACCTGCAATTGGTACATCACCACAAGTTTCAGAATTGATACACCGACTGAGCTGTAAGATGCTGACCTTATTCCTTAACTTGCCAGCAAGTGGATTTCTAGCCTGTGATTTGATTCATGTTCTCTTCTTCAGGTGAACAGTCTGAAGCTGGATGATACCCTGAATTCATTGTCTCAGCTCCAAGACTGCAGCATCTTCATCAAGATAATCAACAAAATGTAAGAGGCATCGAGGACACCTTCCTTTTTCCTTCCTATACTGTGAAGTCAATATGCGTTGTAATGTTGTTTTTTAAGTCTTGTAGGGAAAGAGGCTGAATGCTACAGCCAGTGAACAGCAGTAGCAAATAACGTACAAAAAGTGATCAGTATAACTGCTAGTCATAAAGATGATCAAGCTTTGAAGAGCCCTGCAGGCGCATCCCCTGGTGCTGGAAAACCTTTTAGTTAGTTCCCATCCCTGGCTCCTCTAGTGCTTTTACCTCTGTGCTGTAGGCCACTCTTTGCAGTAACAAGTGCTTGGAAACCAGCTGCTTTAATAATGCACCCCCCTCCGAATGCTAATACAGAATTATGTGTAAATTCTCACTTCCCCATAGCCCTGACAGTGAGCTTCTTCCCTTCCAGTGTTCTTCAAGTGCATAGGTGAAATTTGTAGCACTTTCAGAGTCTTAGGAATAACCATAGTGGAACTCGGAGGTTTTAAGGAATTGTAGCCTGTTTGCTGTTGATTGCGTTCTTTGTCTCTTAATTGGATTCTGAATTAAATGCAGAACTTATTCTGATATAGTGTCTTTTTATCTGATGGAAGCTATTTTTGTACTTTACATCCTAAGCTGGGAGAGCCTCTCTTGATGCACCTTGGCTATTGTTACCTGTCCTGCTGGACAGCTGGAGGTGCATTTAAGAAATGATTCCTAGTTGTGTAGGAGGAGGTAGTGAAGAGGACTTCCTTCAGAGCCTGTATTTACTCAAAGCCTACTTAATCCCATTCCATCTGGTTTTGAACTGTGATAAACAAATCCATGAAACAAGCTGCCATGTTAGGCACTTTGCCTGCACTGTAAGGACTTTGGGGTTTTTGTAAAGGTTTGGGGAGGATGAGGAGACTCGGTTCAAAAACTGCAAATGATCTGCACCTCAGTTTATGAAGTACTGTGTAAAAGGGGTGTCAGGTTTTCTTCTAAGCCTCCTGCTGGATTTCAGGAATTAGTGGTGTCCCTCCATTGCAGTTCTTTATATACTTAATTTTCATCTTCTCTTGGTAATTGTTCTAGGAGCATATTGGAGGTGTGCAGGCAGCCTCATAATTTCTCCTGAAATGCTTGAAAGCCCAAAGCACCCTGAAATGCAGCTTATACTGCCCAGATACCATCTTAATGTTTTATCTGTCTGGTGTTTTCATCATGCTAAGATGCTTAAATTACTTTTCTACAAATGTACCCAAAGCAACATATAAAAATAAATGCTAACTACTAGAATGTTGCAGGCAACCAACCAATCAATCAATCAATCAATCAATCACAAAACAAACAGCAGACAAAAGTCAGAACTCTAAAACAGGAGGGCACCATTAAAAGTGTTGTTAAATTTAGTTTTAAAAGTGTTACTCTGATATCCAAGTACTGATAAGAAGGTGCTGAACAATTTTGTTGGTGTTCCAAAAATGAGGTGCCATCATACTCTCCCCACCAGACTGTGGAAGATCTCAAAAGTTAGTCACATGTGGGTGAAGGTGACCCTCAATGTACTCTGTCCCAAGGTGTTCGCCACCCTGGATTCCTTTGGGAGGAAGGGCGGGATGTGAATTGAATCATAATAAATTTGCTATTCTTTACCTACCTGGTTCAAGCACCTTAAAGGTAAAGGTAAAGGTACCCCTGCCCGTATGGGCCAGTCTTGACAGACTCTAGGGTTGTGCGCCCATCTCACTCAAGAGGCCGGGGGCCAGCGCTGTCCGGAGACATTTCCAGGTCACATGGCCAGCGTGACATTGCTGCTCTGGCGAGCCAGAGCCGCACACGGAAACGCCGTTTACCTTCCCGCTAGAAAGCGGTCCCTATTTATCT